AAAAGATCACATAGGTCTTTCTTTCATCACCAACGCTATTATCACCTATGGCTGGGGTCTGAACATGCTCGATGCCTTGGGCTTAAACATTGACAGTGGCTGGGGTCTAAATACAGGTAGAGCCTGGGTCTTGACATGGCTATATTTTCTGTTTTAAGATTGTATACTATGAGATCATTTACTATTATTATAAGAATGTCACAATCACTTCTAACCAATGATTTAAAAAACGGATCAGTGCCTCTGATCGGGCATCCCAAAAACCCATCCGGATCGACGAATTGGTGTTTCAGATCGGGAATCGGCCGAATTGGTCCAATTCAGCCTTTAAAAAAAAAATTTTTTTTTTTTAAAAGTCATTATAAATGTTGTTTTTTAATAATCTAATACAAAATAGGGTTACTACATTAATAACTTTCATTTTTTTTGCATCAATATGCAAAAATTGAGATGTTATTTCTCTATATGAACTACTGTTAACCATTAAATTTACATCACACAAAAGGAGAAATATAGAATTATCATTGATGAAGTATATAATCATATATAAACTACAATAAAGCATATAATTCGTAAAATACGACCTAATACGAAAATAAAAGACGATGTTGTTCTTCATCTTAGTTACGCTTGTGTCATTGATTAAATTCGCGTGACAATTCATTAACTCAATCTAGGAACAAATCATCTAAATTAGTGGGCACCTGAGATTATTTCACACTTTCAATCAACAAATTGTTTTAAAATTAATTAGTCAAAGAACCCTAAAATTTTAAACTATGTATTTACATTAAATAATTAACAATAAAGTTGAATAATACAAGTTATTTTCACATGATAATTATAAATTGACAATCAATTGAATATAATTCACAATATTATGATATTAAAAATATTATATAATGAAATTGAAATTGTTGTTTATATTTTATAATTATTTTACTATACAAATAATAACAAATCTAAATGTCTTATAATATTATTAAATTTAAAAAATCTTATTTACAACTATAAGAAAAATAATACATTACATAATTTATAATGTAAATATATAAATAAGTAAAATACTAGATTTGGTTATCAATATATAACTATTAATTATAATATTACAGTAAAAGTGATTGAAAAATTATTAGAAAAAGCTTCCATATCATATAATTAAAATTAAAAATCAAATCACCAATAAATTCTGATGTTATTATATTAAAAAATTCAAAAAAACTTTACCCAAAAAAAATGAAAAGTAAAGATGTCAAAATTAAAAAAAAGAAAAGAAAATCATATCGGCAATATGCACAATAGCTACAAAAAAAATAAAAATAAAATATTGTAATAAAACCCATCGAAAGAACCATTTTACTAATAAATAACAAAAAAATTTATATGGCCGTTTTTTAATTTGACACATTAAATTAATGAGTGCTATTAATTTGTTTTTTAATTTTATATGGTCGTTTATTAGTGCTATTAATTTGACATGCTAAATTAAAAAACTATGGATGCTAAGCGTATGGATATTGGCTTGCAAAAATTAATGGCTTGGAAAAATTTTATATGGCCATTTATTAGGTGATGGCTTGTGTGTCGTTAATATGGACGATGTCTTGCACGCTGCTGTAGGCAACAGTGGGAATTGTCTAGAGGAGAATCGGCGATTCTCTACAATGAATCGTGTGGTCCTAGAGGAGAATCGAGAATCACTCGATTCACTGTATAGAATCGGGCGGTGACATATCGTGGTTCTAGAGAGAATTGAGCGCGATTCACTGTATAGGATTGCTCGATTCACTGTATAGAATCGCTTGATTCACTGTATAGAATCGGGCATGACGTATCGTGGTTCTAGAGGAGAATCGAGTGCAATTCACTGTATAGAATCGCTCGATTCACTGTATAGAATCAGGTGGTGACGTCATGACTTGATGTGCATGATGTTTCCAAGGATAATTGCGATATTCGATTTCAAAATGAAGGTAATTTACGCGCTGTGAGGACATCAGTCCCACTCACAATCACATGCCCCATGTCCCGTTCACTCCTGCAATGGTAAAGCACTCGTCCTCACATCTTTTATAGACTCAAAAGCCCCTTGATATTTTCGAGGGACATCGAGTCATGACATCACTGCCTGATTCTATACACTCGATTCTCCTCTAGAACCATATGATTCATTGTAGAGAATCGCCGATTCTCCTCTAGAACCGGGGACATCGAGTCATGACGTCACTGCCCGTTTCTATACAGTGAATCAAGCGCTTCTCGATTCCCCTCTAGAACCATGATTCATTGTAGACTATACAGTGAAACGAGCGATTCTTGATTCTCCTCTAGAACCACGATTCATTGTAGAGAATTGCCGATTCTCCTCTAGAACCGGGGCGTATGCCGATTCTCCTCTAGAACTGGGCGATACACTGATTCATTGTAGAGAATTGCCGATTCTCCTCTAGAACCGGGGTGTATGCCGATTCTCCTCTAGAACCGGGCGATACACTGTTTTTTACATGAATCGCGTGTCAGGAATTGGTCACCTCTGTGTCAACTCACTCGAGTTCGTACTGATTCGACGACGATTTTTAAATCACTGCTTCTAACTATTAGATATCAAATTGGATTGCTTGGCGAATTTTTAATCAGTACTTCTAACCATTAGATATCAAATTGGATTGCTTGGGGTATGTCATAAAGTTTGAAAAGTTTTCTTTTGAAATTTGAATCCAACACTTGATACACAATCATCCGATTTAAAATCTAATAAATAATAGCGATTGTGACCCCTTTGTATTAAAAGTAGATGGTCGCTTTGTATACTGTTCCTTTTTTTTACTACCTTCGAAGATTTTTACTCTTATTTGAAACAAAGCCCCTTGGAGAGACTTTTTCATATTTCTTATAGGTCTCTCTTTAAATTCAATTACTTATTCCACACACAACTGGGTCTTGTTGGAAGCTTTAAACTAACAATTAACTAATCTCATGGTCAAAAATGGACTGCTCCAACCTTAAAGAATTGCTTTTCTTTGTAAGTGTTCAATGAATTTCAGTAGTTTCCATTAATTTGTTTTGATGCTTTACCAGGCATAGGGCAATTTTGATGGTATTTTTTATCATGTCTTTGACTGGGTCTGCCTTTACTTTCTTCCCCTTGACTTTACTTTCTTCCCCTTGACCCTTTCACAATTAATCTTCCACCAACCATCGCCTATCAAGATCGTGGCTACCTGCCATTGCAAACTCAAGATAACTATCTCTAACCCACACTGTCATGCTTGAAATTTCTACCACTATCACGAGTGGCAAACACAAACATTATTATTATTATTATTAATTTGGAAAGAGTCAATATTTTTAGATGGGTTAGTGAGAATATAGGCCATGAACTTTGACTGGGGCTGGTGCTACCATCACAGCCCAACCCTATTCTCACAAAAATTAAATAATTAAGATAGAGACATGCATAATCGTGATGCTTACTCGAATTACTCCCTAAAATTGAGGGTTGATTTCAATTTTAAGAATTTCTTCTGTTTTTTAGATCGAATAGAGATGGTCTGATATTCTAAGAGTTCAAGAAGTCAAAATTATTAGAATTTCTTCCCTTTTGTAGATCGAATAGAGATGGTCTGATATCCTAAGAGTTCAAGAAGTCAAAATTATTTTCCTTTACTACTCAGATGATGATTAGATAAGTGTTCAAGAACTCAAAAAACCTTGTTTTTTCTTAAATACACATTTGATGATTCCTAAATGAATGTCGAAATTAGAGATCTTTAACACTTACGTATATGGCCATAGAGTAAATTCCACTCTCATGTGAGTATGCTATATGTTATATACGCTTATAGAACAAAAGAGTAAGTATTAATTAATTAATTTTATTTAGGGGGAACCTTTCTAGTATGTCTCTAGACGCATATTTTATTCGTAACGAGAGGCACTAAACATCCACTCAATGGCATAACAAAAAATTTTGCAAACCATAATGGTGTTAAGCTTTAATTTATTGGGCTATAATTACAGTACGACATATCAACTCCCAGCTATTGAATCAAAATCAAATAGTTGTATGCCATTCGACATGTATAAAAGATACATGTAGAGAGACATACTCAGGCAAGCCCACCTGAATTTGCGATTGTAACTTTGGCTTGCCTCTCTAACGAGCCTGAGTAACTTGAGTTTGGTGCTCAAGTTCAAGGATATTAAAAAAAATTCATAAATAATCGTAAAAAATCTAAAAAAAATATGACAAATTTATTATATGCTTTTTTATGTTTTTTAATATTTTGACTAGAAAGTGTTTTAGCTAGGAATACTTACTTTTACATTTTTTTTTTCCCTTCTTGGATTATTTCTAAAATATCTTTAATCACAAATTGATTTTCTGAAATTTCATTTTGTCACAAAGTTTTTAAAATCATTTAGATGCGTTTTTGTTTAAATTTTACTTCAAACATATTTTTCATATTGTTCGTAATTTTTTGGTAGTTTTTTAGTTTTTAAAAGTTTTTAGAGACTTTACCCGACTTAGACAAGTAACTTGGTTGTACCATACCTAGTTATCTCATCGAGATATCCATTCTTAACAACCCTCATTAACACTTTCAATATATAACTCCCTAATTTATTAGAAAACGGTAGGGTCTGTTTTCGTACTGAATTACCCAAAAAAAAAAAAACCACAAATTGGAACCGGTCTGAGTTACTCGGGCTCAGCCCATAGCTGCGTTCCATCCCTGAGTCGGGTTTTCTTACAATGATTATATGTGAGATAGAAACAATACATACCGGGTCATTATACGAAACAGAGGATTAAGACTTTTCCTTGAACACAAACCACGTGATTTCCGAACCATGAGTTAGAGCCAAACTCGCTGTTTATTTGAAAGAAGCAAACAACATAGCAGAAACGTCCATTTATCTCTACGGTTATTCATTCCCAACTATAGACAAGAAAAAAAATGCAGTAGAAAACAAAGATTAAGTAGCAATAAGAGACGTATAGCAAAATTCCCATATCTTTATTTCTCCGGAATTTCTCATAATTATATTACATTGGGGAATACATGAAATAAAAGTAAAAAAAAAAATGAAATGAAATTTAATCACAGTGAGAACCTTTTTTCTGGCTATGTCCACCAAAAAATAATAAACAAATTAGAAATAGGGGACAAATTAGAAAATAGGGGACGTGGGGTAGGCGCAAGAACCCTGACCCCAAGATAAGGCTCGAATGAACATGATAATGGACAATAGAATCCTTGTACATACAAAACTAAAACCGGCATTTTTCTCTGTCAAAATTTTGTCTATCTACCCAAAACTTCAGTCTTTTGGGGAAGCTCTTCCTTTTGAGGGGGCATGGCAAAGGAAGACAGATCCCTCATCTCTTCCCTTTTTGGTAGGAAATAAGGGGTCTTGGTGGTGTCTCTAATGCTTGGGACACCTTGATGAGGCACTCTCTCTATAATTTGCTTCCTCAATATATCATGGAGCCTTCCAAACAGCTTTTGCTTCACTGTTTCAAATGCTCTGTCGAGATTTTCGATCTGTTTCAATGGAACCATCCCAAGGAGATGAATATCGTGTTCAATTTTATTGATACAAGTCTTAAGAGCTAGAGAGAGAAGAGAGAGAGTGGCAATGGTGGTTTACCTGCTCAGTTGCATTGACATTGTACATGAAAAGCCCATAGTAGAGATCAAAGCTGTCACTGACTGTGTTCTCAGTCTGCAATAAAAAACAATAAAAAAAAACTTGTTACGAAATACTAATAATATGGATTTTTTTTTTTTTGGACAATCAATAATATGGATGAATATTTTAGAAGTGAAAATAAAACAAGTAATCCAAACTCACCAGTTGCAGGAGAGTCTCATAACCTCGAGTATTGATGGGTGTAGATTCTAGGTCGAGATGAGATAAAATCCTGTAAAACAATTTAAAAAACTAAATTTAGAATAATTTTCTCTGTTTTTTAAGCAACAAAAAATTTATCTACGTTTCTAAACTTATCCTAATCGAAGCAGCATAACAAATCAATTAGTTTTTGATAATTAACAAAAAAATAAATATAATTAACTTCAAAGACATTTACCTTCCTATGGTGTGTGTAATGAATTGACTACCAGCTGCATGGCGGTCATGCTCTTCGCATGACATTTCGACCATTCGACAGCCCTGAGTACATTAATTCACATGATAAGTGAAAATGATCGTGAGCTCCATGTACAAAAGATAAATAGTCGTTTCGTGGATAATAAATATGTTACTTTTTCATAAATATTTATACCTCATTCTCAAATATGCTCAAGAATTTGGCACAACTCTTTTCTTGCTCAGTTCCTTGCGCAATGCGAACATTATCATAGACGAATGGTAAACCCGACCACCCATTCTTCCCACTCTCAGGGCCAAACATGGGATGAGTGCATATGATCCCAAATTCAGGTGGTAAGATCTGAAATTATCAAAAGAAATAAAAATATATTAGACAATGGCCAGAAGAAAAACAAAAACAGTAATCATCATAATGGTAGTAAAATTTTTATTTTTATTTTATTTTATTTACCTCTAAGAAGAGATTCTTAGGGAATTGTTTAACTGAGAGAACATCAGCAAAGATGGTATCTGGTTTGAGCTTGTGAACAGGGATGCTTCTGAGGATGTTTTCGGCCGAGAGAATGGAAGTGCAGACCAGCACCACATCTGGTTGTTGCTCACACATTTCCTCCATCTTACTGCAATTTCATCACACAATCAACTCTTACTGTTTTTCTTCAACTCCTTGAAGAAAGAAAAATATTCAAACCCAAAAAACACAAAACTACATTTATTTAATTTTAAGAAAGCATACCACACAAATAAATGCATGAATTGTTTTCTATTTAGTTTTTCCAAAATATAAAGTTATTTCTATGTAAAATGATCAAAGTTCTCTATAGGAAAGAGAAAAAAAATCTCACCTATAGTATTCAATCCCATGTTTCTCACAGTACTGTGAATAATCAGATCTAGATGTAGCCAAAACACTGTGACCTTGCCTTATCAATGCCTTAGCCATGAATTGCCCAAAATTTCCAAACCCAACTATCCCAATCCTAAGGCCCTCTTCCTTAGATCCCTTGCTATCTGGATTGGCACAAGCCCTTATCTGGGACTTTAGGTGAGAACCATTAAATTTAGCAGGGATGGGTTTACCACTAAATTTAGCAGACAGAAGATTGTTATGTGGTGTAAACATGGGGATCTTGGTGGAGGCTCTTGTTGGGGCTAAACTTGGAGGCAGGAGAAGCTTTGGCTGGTGCACTTGCTGAGCACAGGGGCAAAACTGGAAGGCCGCCATTTTTCTCTCCTCTTTGCCTTGCAGGTTGCAACGAGCCTGTGATGAAGGAGTCGTAGAGGAGCCTCGCTTTTATATATAGACAAAAGGAGAACCCATGTGTTCATAAAAAAGAAAAACTCCTGTGTGAATTTCTCCATTAAAAACGTCATTTAATAATAAGATAAAGGACAAAAGTATGATTAATAGACTAGAAAAGCCCATGGCTGAATTTCTGCATTCAAAACTTCTCATCCAAGAACAAGATCATGGAAAAAGGTATAATAAAACAAGACACGAAATTCGGAAGAAAGAGAGGAGAAAAAAAAGAGATTTGAGAGTAAGGGCGGCAAAAGACCGGGCCAGCCTTGGTACTAACCCGGCTTTCCCTTGGGCCATGTTAGGTTAAAAATAAGAGATTCAAAAGTCGGCACATAATCGCACGGGCTGACTAAGGAATTAGTCTCCCCATTCCGGTTTCGTGTACATATAGGAAAACAATTGAATCTCTCCATACAGTAAAACAACGATTCTCTATAGTAAAATGGTGATTCGGGCCACCATTACTAAATTTAAGCCAGTTTTTGCATGGATCACCGTTTACATATTTTATGTCAGTTCATTGTTTTCCCCATACAGTAAAACGGCTATCCAAACTGCTAATTCACCAATTTGGATCGGTTATTGGGGCGCCCGATCAAGACCAATGATCTATTTTTAAAATCACCGTAAAAACAACAAATGAAATAGAAAAACACAAAAAAAAAAGAAAGAGAGTCGGCCCAAAATGAACCGAGTTGATACTGGTCTTAGCCCTGCGCTGGGGCCACCGAGGCCCTACTTTTTCATGCGGTGGCGACCGATCCGAGCCGGTACAAGCCCGGCCACCGAGTCCATTACCAGCCTTTATATGTGAAAGAGGAGAGAAAGTGAGTTTGAAGAAGACAAGTACACGCGTAGGTGTGATGGTACGCAGAAGGTCAGATTGATGACCAAATTGTTTCGCAGCCTAATCATGAAACACGTGTGAAGTGACGACTAGCCCAGCCCATTAGAATACAGGGCTATTTTGGTAATTAGGCGACTGGTAGTTGGAATAGTTTATGATCTATTTCGCCGTCTATTTAGAATGACAAAGGGATTTGGTGTAGGGGTATAATAGTCATTTCGTCGAAATTATTATTATTGACAAGCGTTTACGGTGAGCCGAGGATCCAAAACTTTTGTGGATTTTGCGAACTTCAAATCATTCGAGCCTCCCCATATTCAACTAAAAAGAATATAGGGATGTTTGACTCATTTTCCGTTTCTACTTTTGCTCGGTAATTTCTTTAAGGAAAAAGTTTATGTAAGGATGTAACTTTAGAATGTAGAAATACGGTACGGATGCACTTCAAAAATCTATCAAAAAAAATATAGTTTTAATATTAAAAAATCTTTTGATTGGTTATCTCGACATCCAAATATATGACTACAAAAAATAAAAAGATTTTAAGTTTCAAAAATAGTACATTTTACAACATATTATCTACACTGTCTATTTTCAAGATATTCATATGTTTATAGATCTACTTGATTTTAACTATTTTTAAATTTAAAATTTTATAATTAAATATAAAAATAGATTTTGAGATTATCCTAAGACCATTTTACATCTAAATTATATACCATAGTAAAATATGAAGATGCACCTTACCTCTACAGTTATAATGCATCTGTATGTCAACTGCATCCATTTCCTAAATACCATATTTTGTCCAAATAATAGCTTTTCCTTTTGTTTGTGTTGCTCCAGTGTAATTTACATGCATCAGCTTCATATTAACTTACATTAGGACAATTTTAAATATATTTTTATCCCTTGTAATAAAATTAAAAATTTTAAAAATAATATAAATAGAGCAAATTTATAAACACTTGAAAATTTTAAAAATAAGAAATCCAGATACCTTGTAACAAGATATACTAACTTTAGGACTTGTAATCTTTTTTTCCTTCACACCCACTTTTGAGATCGAAATCATCAATTGAAAGGTTATCCAACATCATAACACTCTCATCTAGAGGATTTTTTAGGTTTGCCTTATGTCAAAAATAATGTAAGGTTGCAACCTTATATAAACCTTTTTCTTAAAAAAAAACGTAATTGTCCCAAAGAAGTATTATTTTTTATTTTTATAATTAAAATATTAAGTATAAACAAAAAGGTAGTTCAACGTGAATAGATTTGAACTTCAAATTTACTCATTTAGGGTCCGTTTGGTTTCTTGGATTTAGATTTCTAGGAGTCACTATTCCCTGAAAAGGCCGGCCCAATCATGTTTGGTTCGACATTTATGTTGGAATTGATATTTCCATGAGATTTCTGAATGCTCATTTTAAGCCTAAATTTTGGAAATCTCAATTCCACCAAGATAGGTGGAATTGACATTTTATGGAAATGACCAATTTTTCACGGAGGGAAACTATATCAATTTGTAGAAAGAGAAAATATATTAAAATTTTAGAGAAGGAAACTACATCAAAATTTATAGAGAAAAAATCATGGAATTTTTTAGACAGAGAAAATACATAGAATTTTTTAGAGAAAAAGAGAGAAACTATCTCAAACTTAAAGTTTTAGAGAAAGCATCTTAAAAATTTAGAGAGATAAACTGTTAGGACCCAGATTTTTCCGGTATATTGTAGTGCGCTGGTGGGTCGTCAGCACGAGGGAGCTAGCATGAGGGCACTTGTGAGAGTGTTGGCAGATCAGTGCATGGTTAAGCGCGAGCAGGTGATTGCGTGCGAGTGGATACATGTTAAAGCGCGTGCGGGGACTGGTGTCTGTGCGGGCAGTAAGGCACAGGTGAATTAGTGCACTGTTGAGCGCAACAGGAGCACGATGATGCATGGATGGATATGGACGCGCGTTATGAGTGAGGGCAGACGAGTTCGCTGCTGGGAGGGTGTGCAGTTTTACGCACCGTTGAGCGTGGGTGAGGGCACGAGAGAGCGGGGGTGGTTGATCGCGCAGTTGGGCACAGATGGCTGCACACGCGTTGAGGGCGTGGGCCGATGAGCGTGCCGCTGGGCGAGGATGGTGTACGGTAATCTAGGGAGCTCTCTCTCTCATGTTCTCTTTCTCCATGCATGTGTGACAAGTGGCCAATGCTTGTTGTACCCATAATCATGATGTCTTACATTTTTCTCTCACTCTCTCCTCATACATGCCTCTTGTGTGTCACTTGTCATTAGCATGCTGCCATCCTTTTTTGCTTAAATATACCCCCTTCACACCCCATCCATTGGGTTTGCTCTCTCTCTCTACTCCCTATCGTCTCTCACCATGTTCTCCCCCTCTTGCCTTAAAATTTTGAGCTTTGAGACCTTTCCTAGCCTTAAGCCTTTGAGCTTGAACCTATCCTTTTGAGCTTGGAATTTGGAGTGAAATCTACGTGGAGCACTTTGGAGTTTCATTTAGTATTGTAACTAAATCTAGTTTTCATATTTTCATGCTTTAGATTAATGCATGTTTGCTTAGCTTATCAAAGTATGAGATTTAAGTATGAGTATGACTGTGAAAATGGGTATGGATGCATGTTACTGAAATCCTGATATATTGTACTCTGTTTTCTAGAACTGTGGCTCCAGTTTGAGAAACTATTTGAGTATCCTATATATCTCCTTAGATCATGAAATTTTGTGAAATCATATCTCATTGAGTTTATTTTATCATGGAAAAGACATTTTGTTAATATCTTTTTTGGTTTAAAAGTTATGTACCATTTTCTGAAGCATGCTAGATTTGTGAAATGAAATTTCAGGGATTTAACGTATTTTTATGTAGAGCTTTTCAATGATTAAAACATATTAGAATGATGGCAAACCATTTTTAAATTATATATAAATGAGTTTATTTTGAAAATGGTTTTGGAATCATGATAAAATTCCTTGTGGTTTGAAAGTTATGTCATTTTTCCTTTGAGTATGTTATCTTGGATTTTCTGCTGTAAAAACAAGAACTTTGTTCAAAAACATCAAATAGTTTGGCAAACTTCAACCAAAATTTTGGGGCTACCCCCTTCATGAAAATTGTGTTTTTATGATCCTAAATTGTTATAAAAGTAGTCTCAAGTCCAAATGATATTCTTATCTCATGATATGCCTATATAAGTGGACTCTATTCACTGTGAAAAAATCAAAAAAATAATCGGAAGATGACTTTTGAGCCTATGAGCCTGATGATATATAGTATGCTTTGGACATATTGTTGTTTCATATGAACCTGTCTCTGTTATGATATGTATTCATGAAAGCATGCTCTGTTATGAAATAAAGGCATAACAATGAGGCATACTCTGTTATGGAATGAATGCATGTTCCATTATGAAATGAATGCATGACAATGAGGCATATTTTGTTATGAAATGAAAGTAAGCTCTATTATGATGTGAATGCATGTAGTAAGACATGCTCAACTATGATATGAATGCATGTAGTAAGATATGCTTTGTATGCATGCATGATAATGAGATATACTCTGTTATGATAAGAATGTATGTAGTAAGACATGCTCTATTATGTTATGAATGCAGGTGGTGAGACATGCTCTGTTATAATATGTGTACATATTATGATACACGTTCTTTGGTGACATGTGCACATGATTTTGAGACATGCTATGTGATATGTGATATGTGATATGTAAAAAAACTTGTGTGGCCAGCTATGTGATATGTGATTTATTGGCATGTTTGAGCGTATTGCATGACCATATTGTGATATGTGATTTATTGGCACACTTTGAGCGTATTGCATGACCATGCTGTGATATGTGATTGATTGGCATGCTTTGAGCGTATTTTCATGATCATGTTGTCATATGTGATTGATTGACATGCTTTGAGCGTATTGCATGACCATACTGTGATATGTGATTTATTGGCATGTTTTGAATGTATTGCATAACCATACTGTGATGTATGATTGATTGGCATGCTTTAAGTATATTACTTGACCATACTGTGATATGTGATTGATCGGCATGCTTTGAGCGTATTGCATTATCTAACTTGTGACCTCTCTGGCTCACCTAATGATAGGA